TACTGTAAGAAGAAATCTCTCCAATGAGAGTTGATAAATTCACTAATCTATAACAATAAATCATTAGGAGACTATGTCTCTTTAGCAGAATAATAGTAGTAGGCTCTCCCGTAGCCACAGGTTATTGGCCCTGATAACAGTGTCAGGTATGGACTCCATCTTGTGAAGCAAGCCTTAAATCCAATTAGAAGGTGGTTGGTTATCCCCACTACATTCATGCCACTGTTGTACCAGTGGACATTTTTTGTCAAGTCAGTTGTTATTGTAGCTCACAGGGTTCACAGCTGGGTAAGGTTGGTTACCTTTCTCTGCCAGTAACACACATAGCACCTTCTAGTACTATGAAAGCTAGCTAACAGAGATGAACTTCAAGGTCAGTATCAGCTTGATTTTTCCTTGTTTGTTCTATTACTCAAGTCTGTAGTGTCTTCAGCAAAGGGTTTTCCCATCAAATTCTGGTGGGTAACAAAATGCAATGGCAATAGTCAATATTGTTTGAGGGGCTATGGGATCTCTCTGATCAGCAACTCCGAGAGAGAGTCCATTCCTGACAATGGGCTCTTAATTTGCTAGCCTGTGTAGTCTATTAGGGCCACTGAACCCTATAATACAGTAACTATCTTAAACTCTTCTATATTGTATATAGCTTTGAATTTCTAGATAGGTGTGTTTCAGATGGAAAATTCTTAGAGGTCAGGAAACTAATAAGTGGCCATGGGGGTGGTTCATGGGATGGGAGATAGAATACAGTGATATAAATGGGGAAGAGGGCATAATGGGAAAGAATGTGTTTAATGGGGTATGAAATTGGAGGGCAGGGCAGAAGAGGGAGTAATGAGAAGGATAACTATGACTAAAGGCCTTTTTGAAAAGTCATATGGAAACTTAGTCATGTAGAAGCTTCTTTCTGTATATATATATATATTATATACAGTATATATAGATATACAGATTATTGTTTTTTTAATGACACTAGCTTTGGGTCTCTTTATTACAGTGGTTTAATCTATACCAGCTAAGACATGTTAAGGATATTAAATGTTAGCAAATGAGGTAGAATAGTGTAGTGGCCAAGAATGGGGCCAAATAACAAATGGCTGAATCCCCTTTTTGCTGTGTTTTCTAGCTGTGTGATCTTGGGCAAACTATTTAACCTTTTAGTGGCTGTTTTAGTAAATGGATTAGGGACAATGTCACCTAGAGCTCACTACCTTTCTAGACCATGACCAGTATCAGAATTCCCTGTCTGTGTCCAGGAGCATGCTGCTAAGGCCACATGGACTTCTCTGATCTGTCCTTCTGACAGCTGACTGTTCCTTTCAGTTACCCTCAATCTGAGACGTTGCCAAAAAGTGGCCACGTCACAAGGATGTGGATGGGACTTGGATCAGAAGACCGAGGTACCACATTAAACATGTGGCCTTTCTGGCATGTGATGGCATAAAAGAGGGTTCAGGAGAGATGGGGGTGGATTTTGAGCCAATGTCAAGCTTTCTAAGTTGTCACATTCTACTAGCATGAAATAAGTCTGAGACTCCTAAACTTGAGTCTTTCCTTCCAGTTATTATGAAAGTATGTATTTCAAGTTAAGATAATAGAACACATTCTATTTAGTAGTGTCATTGTTTGAATTATGAGTTTAGAATATTTAGACATAAGGTGTTTAAAATTCCATCCAAACTTCTGCACTGGACTGAAAATTTAGGAGTAGGCCTGGATACTCTGTAGGCCATGCATGAGGACTAAATGAACTAAGAAATGAAAAATATTCAAAGCAATGTATGTAGTAAACATGGTTATTCCTTAAAAACATTAGCAACAATGATGCTTATGCCATTTCTAAAGGAATTAGGGCCCCAGTGAAGGGTTTAAAGCATGACAGTGTCATTTGCTCATTACTTTTTTCCTACAGATATTGAGGATGTATTCTATACTCAACTATTTTGGGAATTGCTAATAATAGTAGTGAATGAAGTAAAACTGTTTCTAAGACATGCACAGTAGAATGGAGGATGAAGAGACATAAAATATTGAATATGTTGAGCCATGTCTTTGGGAGTTTAGAAAGAATGTTCTGACTGCAGAGATATAAGACTGTGAGTACAGGGCTGTTAGGAGCTTGTTGGGTTAATCTATAGAAGAGGATGGTGTATGATACCAAGTAGTGGCAGAGAGAATCCAGATCTCTGAATAGGTTTAATGACAGTAGTTGGATGGTGAAATGATAGCACTCGGTAGTTGATCAATATAGGAAGTGAATGAAAAAAGAAGGAATCTGGAATTTCAGATAGGATTTTGACTAAAGGAGGCACCAGGGTCATGGTAAGGCCTGAAACAATGGGATCAGGATGTAAGAAAATGAGGGATTGTTTGGGAAGAAAATGGAGGAATCATTTTTGGTCGTGCATTTGAGATGTCCATAAAATGCTTGTGTTGGCTTCTTTTCTCATTGCTGTGACCAAATACCCAGCAAGAACCATTATAAGGAAGGACAGGTTAATGTTGGCCCGTAATTTGAGGGGATATAGCCCATCCCAGTGGGAAGCCATGGAAGTTCTGTGGTGGCAGCAGCATGTGGGGGGCTGCCTGATCACATCTTGGGGGAACAGGAAGCAAAGCAGAACAGAGTGAGGCAGGCTATAAACCTCAAGGCCTGTGCTGCAGTGGCCCACTTCCTCCAGTGAGACCTCACCTACCAAAGATTCCAGAAGGTCCTCAAGCAGTGTCTCTAGCTAGGACTATGTGTTCAAACATGGGAGACAGTATACATTCAACCCTTAACATCCAAATGGGGTATATTTTATGTAAGAATTGAATTGTCCTTTGGCGACCCTTGGCAAGGAAATATCTGCCTTTCCCTGACTCTGGATCTCTTGGCTTAAGACATATAGAAGCTTTGTGGGTGAAACATGGGTGCAGGAGTTAAGTAGCAGGACTCTTCATGGTAGACAAGAAGCTATGGGGTGTACTTTGCTGTTCCTCTGATTTTATAACTCTGTTTAGTCTTCTTTCTCCAACCAGCATTTAGTAGAAGCTGTATTTAGTCAATCCAGAGAAATACATTCAAGGCAGAAATGTGGCCCATATTCAACAGAGGAAAGATGAACAAGTTTGCTCTTCATTCATACTGTTGTGGATAGGTTCGCTTTATCATGTTTCAAAGCCATGAGCCTCAAGATGAAGAAGCTTCTGGAAAAATCAAGGTCTGTGAAATTCAATGATGGTTACTATTCCTCTTTTGCTATTACTGGGATTTTTGAGGGTATTTTTGTTGTTGTTGTTTGTTTTTTTGTTTTGTTTTGTTTTTCATTAAAGAATAGGTTACTTTGCAGAAGACCTTAGAAGGATAGCAGTATCTTTTAAAATTTTTATTAATTATTTTTATTTTATGTGTATTAGTGTATTGCCTGCATGTATGTAAGTATACCCCATCTGAGTTGTGCAATGCCTGAGGAGGTCAGAAGAGGACATCAGAGTCCCCTGGAACTAGAGTTAGGGATGGTTGTTAGCCATCATGTGGGTGCTTGGGATTGAATCCAGGTCCTCTGCAAGAGCAGCCGGTGCTCTAACCGCTGAGTCATCTCTCCAACCCCATGGTACCAGGATCTTTAATGCCTCCCCTTTTTAGACTTATAACTGGAATATTCTGTCTCTAGGTGCCCTTCCAAAGCTAAGCTCCATCCCATCTCCAGGAAGCTGACTTACTGTATCCTCCCTTTCTGCAAAGCTAATCTCTATATCTGCTGTGCTCTTCAGATATTGTGGACTCTCTTCTTTTGTGACACATGCTGTATTTGAAGTGGATAATCCCCACTTTTTCTACTCACCTAAAGGGATGCTCTCTACCCTCTTTACAGCTTTGTCCAATTTATGAAATAAAAGTGGAAAGGTTGTATGCTTATGCTTAGGCAAGATCCCAACTCCAGGAGCAGTATGATGATAGGCAAGGCTATTAGTGGAGTTCTAAGAGCTCAACTCTCTGAATTCAGCTCAATTGTCTTTGTCTTTTTTACACAAAGAATTTCCTGATGTCTAGGCACATTGAAACTTTGAATGAATGAGTGTGTGTGTGTGTGTGTGTGTGTGTGTGTGTGTGTGTGTGTATGTTCCCATACCAACTTCTTTATGGCTTCATAAAATATTTAGTACATTGTCTTATGACGGATTTACCTTATTTATGTGTCTGCCACTCTAGACTGATTTCACTTGGGGCAAGGAATGGCTCTTACTTATCTTTATACTTTCAATTCCTAGAACATAATAGGGAGCTGAGTAAATTTTTCTGAGTGTATTCATTATGGGTTTGGGTAAATAGGTAGATGAATAGGTAGAGATGCATTCTATTTTTACTACACTTCCTTTTATAATACATCATAAGAAACCTATAGTAGAATGGGGAGAGTGCTTACATTGCAAGCATGAAGACCTGAGTTTGGTCCCCAGTACCCATGTACAAAGGTAGGTGCAGCGGTGTGCACCAGTAATCCTAGTGTGGAGAGGTAGAGACAGGAGGGTTCTTGGGGCTTGCTAGCCACTCAGTCTAGCTGAATTGGTGAACTCCAAATTCAGTGACAGACCTTGTCTCAAAAAGTAAGGTGGAGAAAATTGAGGTAGACAGCTGACAACAACCTCTGGCCTCTCTCTCTATGCACACACATGTGCATGCAGATACACACGAACAGGTGTACATACACATGCACAAGAGAAGCTTACACTTAAAATGTGTACAATATAATGATAAAATGTCAATGGAAGTAGAAAGGCAGTAATCTTATAGGAAAATGTATATAAGAAAAATCTCCTAGAAAAATGTTGGTACTCAAATAGACCAATAACTTTAAGAGAGATTAAAATTATCAAAATATCAAAGAAAGTGACAAGTTTAACAGTTTATATATATATGATTCCACAAAAATCTGTGAAAAGTTTTGTAGATAAAGAAAAAAACTACCTTTGAAGTTACAATTTTATCATAACCTGGATAACAAAAAAGTACAGGGTAATAAACACATAAAAATTACAATATGACTATATCAAACACATAATATAAAGAGATAAAAAGTGTAACACATTATATTAATAGAGGAAAAAGCATTTTTTCATACAAAGTCTCTTCCCAGGATTAGACAGCAATGTTCCTAATTTTAAGGCAGCGTATCAGAAAACTACAACAAATGTTCTCTTTTTGGCGAATTCTTAGAAATAATAGGGGAACAGTACCAAGGAGAGCAATGGCCATAGAACAAAAAGCAGGATGAGGCTGGAGTTCAGCTAGTATGTCTGGTTGGAAGTAAGGGTGGTAGAGAAGAATGTGTGGGTGGCTTGTAGACAAGAATGGGAGCCTGGAACAGGACTGTGCTAATTAGGAGGACAAGAGTGTGATAAAATAAAGGACCTACCGAGCATCTAGGGGCGCTAATTAAGGGACCCATGGCATTTAGAGTATTGTAGGAGAGCCTAAAGGAGCAGAGGAAAAACAAGAGGAGCCTAGAGAGAATGGCTGGAGAAGGGGTGTGCGAGGGGGGAGAGTCCCCGTGTTTACCAATTAGGGGTTGCTGTTGACCATGGCCAAAGTGAGAACTAAAGGCTGCTGGGAGGCTATACAGTGGGAGAAAAAGGAGAAAAGTAGGAGGTGGATGCAAGCACTTTCCTTTAAGCTGTGCGTAGCCACCTGAGAAGGAGCTGAAACTCAGGAGATTTTTTTCCTTAGGTTGTGGTGATATTCACATCTTTGCAAGGCTACAGGGGTGCAACTTGTGGAGAGGAGAGACTAAAGATATACTAAAAAGGGGTGATAGATTGAGTAAGCTCCTGCTGGAGGCAGCAAGAAAGAGATACTCATTAAAAAAAAAACTTACACGATGTTTCATTATGGAAAAAAACTAAGTGAAATCATTTACAATGGCACCCATTTATTAAATCAATAAGAATTTATGAAGTATCTACCATGTACTAGGCACTGTTGTACTGGGGATAAGAAAACCATCCCTAGCCTATATTATTTAATTTCAGTAATTCAAAACAGAAATGAAACTAAATGAAAAACCATACAAAAGTTTGGTTCATCAGGCTGGAGCAGAAGGAGGTATGGCCTTGGCAATACAAATGTCTTCACAAGACAGAGTCCCTCAGATGGGACCTTGCTTGTTCTTACAGATAACACATGGATGGAGTGGTGGCAGGAACTCAAGATTTGGAATTCAATGCAGAAGTCCTTTTTGACTAAGGTAATGCAAGATAACTTTTTTCTATAACCATAACTGGTAGAGGAATCTCCTGTAGCCCCACTGTGCTTGATGTACTCAAGACTTTAATACAGACAAATGAAGACAGAAAAAGACAACAAATGGTCCGCAGTGTCAACAGACCGGCTGTCTGAACCTTCAGTCCAGTACTAGCAAATCACTGCTTCTCTGCTTTCATTTGTTCTTCCAGCAATTTCCAGTGAAATTCAGGCTGACCTGGTTACAACCATCAGGCTGTGCTTGTTATTAACTTCATCACTGTTCTTAACAGTCGTAAATTAATATCACTTTTAAAAAATCATTTTTTGAAAGCAAAAAGTAGGGGAGATGTATTCTGATTTTCCTCCTGAAATACTCAAGGATGGTTGGGAAGGACTCCTGACATATGCCCCTGGGGTAGCACTCCATCATACACACAGGAGGTCTGTGCCAAGTGGCAGGATGAGGAAGGGGAGTGGTTAAATTTATGAACAGGGATCTGGAGAAAGTTTGGACTGAAAGGGCCTTTGACATTTTGAGAGGACAGTTCTTACTTGACAAGGTGAGAACAGTCCTGTACAAGGCTAACCGATGGATGCTCTACTTAAAACCCAGGTGTCCCGAAACTCCAGATAGCATTTTCTCTTATGCATATTACCAAATTCCCTATTGAGTTACACTTATCAATTAATGACAGGGAGAAAAACACTTATTTTTACTATCTCCAGAGTTTTACTTTTCCCAGAATGTACTAAGTTACGATTGTACAGCCCTTTTAGAGGCCTCTCTCACTCAGTAATAAGCATTTGTTTGCTTCATGTCTTCACAGATGATTTCTTTTTATTGGTAAGTGATGTTCCACTTTCTAGATGTAGACTTTGTCTTCTGATCACTGCAGTTTTTACCCTCCAGCCCTTTCATTACTGAACATAAGCCAAACTTGGAGAGGTGTCTAGTGATGAGAACTCCCTCCTGAAATGTGTTATTTAAACGGAGGCTCACAGATCTTCTGTGGCTAATTACCCAGATCCCACTGTGCCAAAGAGGGAGGGGAATCAATCTCAATTGGAATATAAAATAATTCTCCCTGAAAATGTGGGAACAAAGAGACCTGTCTAAGTACTGGGTGTGTATTTATCGCCGAGAAAAATCTTGTCTCCAGGATACATCAAACTGGGCTGAAATTTTACTCTTAACTCTGAAAAGAGGAGAAAAAAGGAAGGAAAGAAAAATGAGACAGAATGGAAAATAAGGTGACTGGAACAGAGCGAAAAGACAGGAGGAACTTGCTCACTGCAGGACTCTCTGAGCAAGATATTTTTCTCCCTTTTACAAGTTAGAAGCTGTTGAATAATTCATGACCAGCATGGAAAGGCTGCCTTTTTCCGGGGTGATGGGTAACTGAGCAGAAGAGTGCTCCAAGTGGGTTCGCCACATCAGCCCGCACTCTGCACTCTTGCTTCTGAGCACAGGGTGCGCTCCTCTCCAGCTCAGCTTTTGAAGCCCAGCATCCTTGCTGCTGCCTGCTTGCCTGCCCACCCGCCTGGCTTGCAGCCCGTCACTTTACTTTCTCCAACCCTGCTGCCAGCTGAGGAGACTCTCAGCAGCTGGTGGTTCCTGCCTGGGACCATGTGCGTGGATGCTGCTTGGGAGAAGCAAGGTACTTGTTCCTGGATTGGATCCCAGCTCAGTTTCTCCTGTTGATTTCTGGACTACAGATGTTGTTGCCGAGGAGGTATTTCCTGGCATCCCTTGCTCGGCTATCACCACCTAAGGACCAGCCCCAAAGCAAGGTACCTTCCACTCTTTCCCCTTGGCATTTTTCCCACCTGGGATATCTCTGCATTCGCATAGTAAGTAGGGGGCTCCGGTTAGCAACATTCGTGTGTGTGTGTGTGTGTGTGTGTGTGTGTGTGTGTGTGTGTGTGTGTGTGTGTAAACTGATTTTGGCATTTCTCTGGCCTTAGAGCTTTCCTGGTGCCTGCTGAGTGTCTAGCGGCCCTTCCCTGGCACCGGAGACATTTCCGAGGCAGGCACCTGTCATCTGCCACCCCCGTTCTCCAGCTCCTTCTCTTCCCCTCCCCCAGCCCATTATACAGCTTCAGCCTTTTGTGTGTCGCTAGCAGAGGGCTGACGGGGTGTCTTTACCCTCCCAACAGGCAAGTGCCAGGATGGGCCGCATTGCAAGAAGCCGACGCTAGGGCGCGAGGTGTGAAGAGTTGGCCAGAATGACCAACTCCTCCTCCGCGTCCACCTCCACCACGACCGGGGGATCGCTGCTACTGCTGTGCGAGGAAGAAGAGTCGTGGGCGGGCCGTCGCATCCCGGTGTCTCTCCTGTACTCGGGTCTGGCCATCGGGGGCACGCTGGCCAACGGCATGGTCATCTATCTGGTGTCGTCCTTCCGCAAGCTGCAGACCACCAGCAACGCCTTCATAGTGAACGGCTGCGCGGCGGACCTCAGTGTCTGCGCCCTCTGGATGCCGCAGGAGGCGGTGCTGGGGCTCCTGCCGTCTGGCACCGCGGAGCCCCCCGGGGACTGGGACGGCGGCGGGGGCAGCTACCGCCTGCTCCGGGGCGGGCTGCTGGGCCTCGGGCTCACAGTGTCCCTCCTGTCTCACTGCCTCGTGGCCCTGAACCGCTACCTGCTCATCACCAGGGCGCCCGCCACCTACCAGGTGCTGTACCAGCGGCGCCACACGGCCGGCATGCTGGCGCTGTCCTGGGCGCTCGCCCTGGGGCTGGTGCTGCTGCTCCCGCCCTGGGCACCCAGACCCGGAGCGGTGCCCCCGCAGGTCCACTACCCCGCGCTGCTGGCGGCGGGCGCGCTGCTGGCCCAGACGGCGCTGCTGCTGCATTGCTACCTGGGCATCGTGCGCCGCGTGCGCGTCAGCGTCAAGCGGGTCAGCGTGCTCAACTTCCACCTGCTGCACCAGCTGCCCGGTTGCGCCGCCGCCGCCGCCGCCTTCCCCGCCGCCCCGCACGCCCAGGGCCCGGGAGGCGCCGCGCATCCCGCGCAGGCCCAGCCTCTGCCCGCCGCGCTGCAGCCGCGCAGGGCGCAGCGGCGTCTGAGCGGCCTGTCGGTGCTGCTGCTCTGCTGCGTCTTCCTGCTGGCCACGCAGCCGCTGGTGTGGGTGAGCCTGGCCAGCGGCTTCTCGCTGCCGGTTCCCTGGGGCGTGCAGGCGGCCAGCTGGCTCCTGTGCTGCGCGCTGTCTGCGCTCAATCCGCTGCTCTACACGTGGAGGAACGAGGAGTTCCGCCGGTCCGTGCGATCCGTCCTGCCCGGGGTCGGCGATGCGGCTGCTGCGGCCGCGGCCGCCACCGCGGTGCCGGCCATGTCTCAGGCGCAGCTGGGCACCCGCGCGGCGGGCCAGCACTGGTAACCTACCTGGCCGGGCCCGAGGGAGCCGAGGCTCCGGGCCTCCAGTGCCACCTGCCACCATCGCCTCCTCCCCTTGTAAGCTATCTCCTGCCCCGGGGAAGACGCCACGCGAGGAAGACTCCACCTTCCTCCCCAGTGCAATACCTGAACCAAGGTCTTCCCTTAAATGGACTCCCAAAGTCATTGTGTGCAGCCAGCCGACTTTTACTCTGTTTCTGTGTTTTAGAGACACCCTTAAGTCCAGACACCGGGACTACAAGAACTTGTAAACTGGCATTTTAAAAGGACCAGTCAATTTATTTCAAGTTTGCTTTTGAAAAAGAGCTTTCATAACATATAACCTTTCCAACCTCCATCGTGTCACATAAGAAGCGCCTTGAGTGTGAGTGTGCATGAACCAAAGGAAATACTATTGACGAAGGAACGATGTGTACAGTATTTTAATCACATTTCCTTCTGTTACAGTTTAGTCTTTGTATATTAAACCGGAAGAGCGAAACCACAGGTGTTCACACCGGTGTGAGTTACCATTGAGACCTCAAGCCCTTTATTCTTAAAAGGGTTTTTTTAAATCAAGTCATTTTTTGAATGAGATAGAATCTTAGCCAGCGAGAAAAACCAAATTTATTATTTTACACTCCTTTTAATGCACTTCTAAGATGGAAAACTAGCATCGAGTGTTAACATGAAAAACTTTCAGTTTGTTGATGGATGGTCTGAAGCCAGAAATGGAATTTTGAAAACAAAGAAGGGGATTATCTATTTTAGGGACCAGTCTCTAAAGCATGCACATTGTTGCTACCCACATTTGTAACCAATTTATTTGCCTTCTGAGTGTGATCGCAGCTTTGAACATTCTGTACTATAATGGTTGCTAAGGAGAAAAAGTCCTGTTTTCTCTTTAAAATATTTCAATGCACATGATATTATTAAACACTAATACCATAATTGCATAGCTAATGTTAGCTGCTGTTGCATGCTCCTAGATGCTAGAACTTACTGGGCACGTGGTATACTAAAGCAATACCCATTAGACAAGGACATTTTACTTCTGGTCATCAGAAGAAATGGCCTTTAATTATTTGAAAAGAGACAAGAGACACCTGTGGCTATCTAGAGTTCTTTTTGTCTTGACCTAATTTCTGAGAAAACTCCCATCTGGGACTTTATCTTGCAAACAGAATGATCTGTCAGGAGGCATAAGTAATATGGTTTGGCTCTGCAAAGCCATCTGTGCTCTTTTAGGGTCTGAACAAGCCACACGTTAGGAAGTAACACTGTTTTGATGTTGTTCATATATATTACCATGATGTTTAGCATTAATATCATGTCTTTTGAAGGCGGCATAATAAACTCAGTTATATATAAAATTCCAAATGGGACTCTGTTCTCACAGGTATTATTTGAGGTTTGCCATTTTCATCTTTGACTTCCTGAATCTGTTTAGAAGCATTTGCAATGTAGAAGACCATGTGAAATCACCTTATAAAATTAAAATGGGAGGAAAAGAACAGACATAGCTTAGTCTTCTAGCTTCATCAAACCTGGGACCAAATAGCCTCAATTAACTGTGTAATCCAGGAGCAAAGTCAGCTTGCTTTGCTGTGCTCTTGGACCAGGAAAAATGGAGTACTTGGGCATTTGAATAATTATGGGAGTCACAGGAAACTGATGTTTTTGTAGTAAAACAAAATAAAATGAATGTTTGTCACTAATGATAAATCCGAAGTCATGTTATTAACCTACTGCCGTTGTGCATGCGCCGTTTCTCTCTTACGAAGGTCTCATCTGTTCCCGTTCCCTTGATTCGGATATTTAATTAAAGCTTAGACAACGAGCCTTCTGAGTCTTTTGCTTCTGTTTCTTGATTTCTTCTCTCTGTCTCTGACTTGAGGACACAGTACCAAAAGATCCCCTGCTCCAAAGCACTAGTGAGAAAAATTGACTTCTTTGTACTGACTGTAATTTTATTTTCAGTTTCTAAAATGATTTCTGCATTATACAATTAAGATCCATACACCAATGTTGGAAAAGAAATATGTATGATTTCTTTTCTGTAACCACTGTGGAACAGGTAGCTGCGTATAGAGAGCTGGGGATTTTGGGATGCAGGGGGACACCTTTCTAAATCTCTTCCCATTAGGCCTCTATCCCCGTTTTTCATTGTGGGTGATGCAAACAGTTTCCCCTCTGTCCCTGAAATTCTCTACACATACATACACAACTTTGAAAGTGTGGACCCGATATCTTGGCCTGTTTCTGCTTAGCACAGAGAACTGCTGCTGGCCTCATGCCCTGTGAGAGATCTACTTTCAATTAATTTACTAGTAATTAACTCCACAGAAACAATTCCCTTTTAATTTTAAGGTAGCAGCGATGCATCTGAAATGCCTTACGAGGGCATTGGCTGTGAGTGCTAGAGTTGCTGTTTTGACAAATTAAGTTAATGGAGATTGTGTTCTTATTTAAATGAAATCACGTATTATCCACTCAGGAATTGAAAAAAAAGTCCTAATTGCTATCTTGGGTGGCCCTAATTAGCTTTTTTTTGTATTTTTTTCTTTATATGCATGCCTGTTTAGACATATAAAATGCTCCCTCTTTCTCCATGTGTTTGAACTACTGAATTCTTGGAATAGGTTTTACTCCTAGCACATTTCTCCTTGCAAAATGAAGTGTATGAAAAAACAAGACTTCCGTTTTGTGCAGAGGTTTTAACCCCTGGAGCTTGTTCAGTACTCTACAAGGGGAGTTCCAAGTCAGGAAAATTTCCCTTTTTCTCAGAATTATGTTCACAATGGGGTGTTGTTCTTCTAAGAGGGACCCAGTGTGGATGGTGTGCAGCAGAGAAAGCAGCAAGAAGTAAGGGGCTTCATTTAACTCTCTGATAAACTTCTTGTCAAAAGAAAGTTGGTCTGTTTGGAACTAGCTGCCTTTGGTGTTTCTTGTGTCATGTTTAGTCCGTTGCCCAGGGGTTCAGACAAAACGCTTACTCAGCTCTTCAGCAGCCTTAGCGGTTGACTTGACAAAGGACATCCATGGTGAACATACATCTAAGAACACCGAAGGGCTGGGGAGATGGCTCAGTCACTAAAGTGCTTGCTACACAAGTGTGAGGACCTGACTTCAATTCTCCAGCATCCATGTTAAAGCCAGGCATGACCAGGCATACCTGTAATCCCAGTGCTGGGAAAGCAGAGAAAGGTGGATCCCCGGGGCTTGCTGACCAGTCAGTTTAGTTGATCAGTGAACTCCAGGTTTCAGTGAGATACCTTATCTCAAAAAATCAGGTGAGGCGCAACTGAGGAAGACACTTGATATCAGCCTTTGGCTTTCACATATACACACATACATGTGAACTCATATTTGCACACGCATGAGCATGTATACACACAGGAACATTGAGAAAAATCACATTGTCCCTTCCTTTCAAGGCTTGTCTTAAATGTTTATGGGTTGTGGGGAAGGAGTCCACTCCAGATTGGGCTCTTGATCTGTAGGGACGAGGGACCCTTTCTTCCCCATGCCCATCCTTTTGCTATCTTGAGGAACCTCATGCATTGTGTACTGGCCACAGGTCCAAGATCTGCCTAAATTTCTGTCTCAGCCACTTTGCCACCTCTGGGATCCTCCACGTTCAGGAGCCAGAGCATGGCCTAAGAATGGTCTCCGGGTCTTCGGCAGGGAACTCGTGTGTCCCAGGCACCAGCATCTGTTAAGGGATGGCCAAGCTCTGCAGCTGAAGCAGAGGCTGAATGTGTATGGCTGTTGGAGGTCAGCAATGGGTACAAAGGATGCCCTGCACAATTCTCTCTCCTTTTGTGCATCTTTGAAGTTTTCATAATCACGAATACTTTGAAAAGTGTAGCCAAAGCTAAATAAACAATAAAAAGAAAAAGAAAGACTGAAGAAAGGAAGAGAAAGAAATATAGCCAAAGCCTGTGATCCCACAAGGTTAATTAAATGCAGATACTGGGTTCGAAGCTTGGTCTGACTCCAGAGCATGAGACTGTAGCTACCACAATGAGGATAAAGTCAGAACTTTAAATGAAGTGTGAAATCTCCATCATGGTGTGACCGTTCCCTAGTTCCCCAAAGCCCTCTGCCCCACTAACATCCTTTGCTATAGCTCAGTTGGTGTGCACACTAACTTCTAAACACGGCCCAGCTCTCTATCATCCTTAGCTCACTCAAGGGCTTTACTGGGGTTTTCTTTTCATTGCTTGTTCCCTCCCTCCCTCCGTCTCTCCCTCCCCCTGTCTCCCTCCCTCCTCTCTTGCCTTCCCTCCCTCCCTCTGTCCTTCCCTCCCTTCCTCTGTCCCTCTGTCCCTCCTTCCCTTCCTTCTTTCCCTCCTTCCTTCTGTTTCTTGGAAGGCTCATTCACTTTCTACATCCTCATCAAAGCCCCTCTGCTCCAGCCTTGAGCTCTTCCTCCACAGAATTCACACACAGTGTTATCCTCACATATTCCTTTTGTCTTTCTTTTCTAACGTGTGTATGTGTGTAGTGTGGTCTTCAAAGCTAGATAGGAAAGGAAAAAAACCCATTTATTTTTCATCTCTTTTGCAAAGGGAAAATACTTTTATTTTTTGTAGCCAGTTGTCTGAAACACATTATATATTTAATATACATTCAAAGCTGATAGCAGTAATTTTCAAATTGTTAATTTTTTAGGTTAGATACAACGTATCTAAAGCTTCCTCATGGCATCTTCAATATGTGTCATTATAATGGCAGTAGTTTTTAAAGAAAGAAAGATTGCTCCTCTCTACCCTGCATGTTTATCTTTCTTTGAACAAAACAGACTCAGGAATAAATCCTAGCTCTCAGTTCATATTTTGCCAAAGGCTATCCCAGAGTAACAAAGTATGGCATTATGAGGCAGATGTACAAGTCACATGTTGTCATTTGAAGAAGGTGTATATTTGTAGCACATCCAAACTCTGTTCACAGGACTAAAGTGACAATAAGATATTTCAGTCCTAATTACTGTTTTAAATTCAAGGCCAAATTGCTCAAAGTGTCAATTATTTCTGAGAGCCTTATATTGAAAAATTGTGTGTTTTTTATTTGTAAAAGCCTAATTATTGCTAATCAATGCCAGACCCCTGGGAGAATTAACCGTGGCATGCCTGTGCCTTCCTTGTCAGTTCACATGTTGGCAGCTCTGAAGAAGTGGTAGAGACCATCCAGGTTGATGCTTTGCTCTGTGCTTGAAGAAAGTGCTTGAAGCTGTAAACCTTTTTCTGGTACATAATAGGCTCAGTTTCCATTTTTCCATTTTTTAAAGATTGATTTTTATCTTTAAAATATTTTAATTTTAAATTATATGTATATGTGTGTGTGTGAGCGTGGGTTTGTGCATGTGAGTACGTATGCCTGCAGAAGCCAGAAGAGGGCATCAGATCCCCTGGAGCTGGAATTACAAATGGGTGTGAGCCACCTAGTACTAATGCTGGGGACCAAACTCTGTTCTTCTGCAAGAGTAACAAGTGCTCTTAACCACTGAGTTGTAGCTGTACCTACATTTTCCTGTTTTTTAAGAGCAGAAAGGTATGTGGCATTCTTTGTATGGCACTGCTCAGACACTCTGCTTTTAGCCGAATGACTGTTTTGTGCATTGTTGGTATGGCATGGCAGGATTCTCTACTACTACAAAGTTTACCTTTCCAAAGTTTTCTTTTAAACTTAGTGTGTGTGTATGTGTGTGTGTGTGTGTGTGTGTGAGAGAGAGAGAGAGAGAGAGAGAGAGAGAGAGAGAAACAGAGACACAAAGACAGACAGAGATTCAGAGATTGGGCATGTCATGCCACAGCATGAGTGTGGAAGTCAAGGACAGTTTTTGGGAGTTGGTTCTCTCCTCCTACCTTGCTGAGGAAGGGTCACCCTTGTACAACGTACTCCAGGCTGGCTGGCTGGCCCGAGAGCTTCTGGATGATTCTCCTTTACCTCTCATCTCCCCATAAGAGATCTGGGATGTGCACTACATCATCTGGCTTTTTAAGTGGGTTCCAGGGATGGAAATTAAGTTGTCAGGCTTGCAGAGCAGCACTTTTACTGGTGGGTCATCTTCCCAGTCGCTAAAAGTTTTTTGTTCTTTAAAATATAATATTGTTTTTATCTGGAGAAATGTGTTTTCATAGGAAATTTGTAAAATTTAAGAGCATGAAAGAAGTGATGTCATTTGTAGCTCCACTTTCCAAAGATCACCACCCTTCGCGTCTTGCTGAACCCATTTACTCCCCTTCCTCCTTTTTCTGACTTACGATTTGTCAGTGTGCTGCTTTCTACCTTCTTGATAGGCTTTTATCTTTTTCTCAGAACTTGTAACTGAACTGCAGGTTAAAGTGACAGGTTCCAGTGTCTAGAAGACATTTGTTAAAAATCTGTCGCTTAGAACAGAATCTCCTCTAAACCCTCTTACTTTGCCTTTGAGTCTGAACAGGTAAAACATGTAAAAAGCACAACCCACTAGGATCCTGTCTACTCCCATCCCTCTCTCAGCTGTGTCTGTCTGGTGGTGAAAGTTGCTGCCAGGATGGAGCAGGATGAGGGCAAGAACAGAACCAGCTGCTTCCCACCTCTGTGTCCCTGCAGGGGAACTGTTTCCCCATTATACTTGGGGTGGTTGGGGCCCAGAGTTGCTCAATGAATGACCTTCGTTTTAGTGTCTAGGTTTTCAATCATGTGGCAGATGAGAACAGAACATTCGCAAGTGGTAAACCAAACTATCACCCCTGTCACTGATAACATTGAAGTTGGAAGAAGCAACTTAATCCAAGTGCTAAGGTAGGTTCACTATACTTCTCCTATCAGTCTAACTGAGAACACAT